CTTTCCTGACAAACTTTATTTATTCAAAAAATCATCTATTAGAGATTTCAAATAGATGCCTGATATCCAAGTCATATTATTTAGTTACTACTGCAGTCGATTAAATGGTTGATAAAGTTAAAGTATATTTTGTTAAAGTATTATGATATATTATCAAATTAGTTTGCTAATTTTTCATTCATGATAAGGAAGACTATTTTGATGATTATTATAAAAGTGTCAAATATTATTTAATAAATTGACAATTAAATAATCAAATATTAGTATTTATTAGATTTTTATGATTTTAGTATATTTGTTTCCTCTATAATAGCATTATTTTTAAGAAATTTGTAGGAAATAATGATAAACAACTACAGGAGAAAACTTTAATTTTTTTTCCAATTATAAATTATAACATTTATATGTATGAATACAAATGAGAAATTAAAATAATTCAATTTATAGCTAATTAGATAAATAAAAAAAAAACTAATAATTGTCATCCTCAATTATTTTATAGATGATAAATTTATTTTGAAGACCTATTCATATTAGTTATTTAGGGAATTAACGTTAATAATGGAAAATACAAAATTATTTAATAATGAGATTTATTTAATTTAAGATAGCTAAATTGAAAGATAAACAAAAATAAAACACTTCTGCACTACTAAAACAATTAACTTTAGTTAGTATCTAGTGAAATCATAGTTTCATTCATGTAACAAATATTGAATCTTAAATTTTTCAATATTTGTAAGTCCCATTTGTATTACAATCAAAATTAATCACTGCGATAATGATCTAAACATAAATAAGCTATAAGTAATTACTTTAATATAATCCTGAATTGATATGAAATTCAAATCAAATATTTTAATTAAACTTGAGCTCCTAAATATAAATTCCTTTACTATTAATTTATAAGGATAGATCTAAATTCAGAGCTGTGAAGTAATCTCCTAAAAACATTTTCATATTATGAAAAGTGAAATTCAAGATGTTGTTTGAAAGTGCACTTATATTTTCATATGCATTCTATAAGATTAATTGATATCTATTATTTATTTGCCTCTAGATTTAGACTTAATTGAAGTCCTTACTTGAACGTCGCCTTAAATTCTCAAAATTTTTCAATAACATTTTTATTAAAAGAAAAATTCAATAATTACTCAAATGGCATAATTGTATAAATTAACTTATCTCAGTGAAATTGAAATATTTAAAACACTTGTAAGGATTAATAGGTCTTTTTCAAGTTATAGCAACGAATATTTTTTTATGCTTGAAGACTCTTTTTATAATTGAAAATAAATTAATATAATTAATTCCTCATAAAAATTTAATCTCAATTTATTTATAAAATCTTTTATATAATATCTTGATAGGTTTCATTTATGTATAATCTAGGATTTAGTAAATTCTTATTGATTAAATTTAGAATAACATTTAATCTAACTTTAACTGGGGTTTAATATTCATTTTCAAACAAGTATAACATAAAACATCTATTGATACAAAAAAACAAAAATTCTTATTCAAACTTTAACAAATAGAATAATTGATGAATAAATCAAAAAAATTTTAATTTTAATTAATGAAATTTATTTGATTATAATAACAAATATCTTTTGAAAAATTTATTAATATTAAAGCTCTTATATTTCAACCCTGAAAACAACCTAGCTTATTTTATTGATTTAGATTTGTATTATTTATAAAATAATTGACTTGTATCTAGCAATTAATGGTCAAATTAAATAACTAATTTAACTGAAATATCAAACTCTGTTATTAACAAAAGAATAACTATATTTAAATTTTTCATTTCATCAGCTATAAAATTTTATTAACTTATTTATCTTTAATATAATGTGATTATACTTTCAACTAAACTATTTTAACTAATACAATAGGTTTTTATAAATATTTTATGGATTTATTAGTTTTAGCATGATGAGTTGAATTTGATGAACTTCTAATAGAAGTACTTTTCACAAAAACGATGAATTGATTATGCGAATAGGATTCAAAAAGTCTATTTTAATACTCAGGCTTGTTGGTTTTATAGCTTTTTATTCAAAACTAGATTGGTTCTGAATTTTTCTTTTTGCTTACTTTCTTTTAAAATCAATACCTTATTACAAGCTTCCAAAATTATTATTTTTTAATATAATCAATTAATATCATACTGATAATCAATTAATCTGGTCTCCATTTATCAGATGATAATAATAAATGCTATAAGGCTCTTCTGGGTATTATTAATAATAAAAATTAATCAAAAAATCACATTATGTATTCAGTTTGAAATTTATTAAAATCCCTCATTTACTTTTAAAGTAATATTAATAACAATATTCCAATCTAAAAATATTATTTAATGTAAAGATTAACTTTTGCATCATTTTAATTTAATTTACAATTAATTGATAAAATACTAAAAAGAATACGAATATTTTTATCAAATATAACTAATATAAATTTAGACACTTAATTAAAACTATAAATTCCATTAATATTAAAAATATGCTTTTTTCATATTATTCAAATATCATATTCAATTTCACCACAATTCTAATTCCAATATAAATCTATTTAAATCCATTTACCAACTTTTGAGCCATTTCTATATTAACCATTCAAAGTGATTTTTGATTATCCTGACCCCTCTCCAAAATTGTCACTCAATTCAATCCAACTACCAATTTTAACTGAGCATTCATCCACTGAATCATCATACGATCCACCACCACTAAAATAGCCCTTTTAAAATTTACATTTATTCAAATTTATCATTCTCCTTTTCTCTGAAAAAAATATCCCATCTAAGTATTTTTTTATTATTTTTATATTCACCGTTATATGTGATTTAAGCATACTCGTAAAACTCATCACTTAACTCAATCCATCTCCCAATCTTAATTCCATTATTATAAGTTCCACCTCCACTAAAAATTAATCTATATTCAAAAATTTACATCGATCTAAATTCTGACTGATATTCCCCTCTAAATAATATATCCCATCTATCTATTTTTTCACCTTATTTATATTCACCCTTATGAATCACTTAAGAATCGCATTAAAACCCATCACTCAATTCAATCCACTTTCCAATCTTTATTTAATTATTTTAATCATATGATCCACCACCGCTAAAAATTTCATTTTATTTACATCAATTCATTCTTTTTTGTATTCCTATCTTTAGTAAAAATATCCCATCTTCCTATTTTTTTCCCGTTTTTGTATTCACCACTATACGTAATTTATGACCAACTAACAAATCTATTACTTTATTCAACCCATTTTCCAATCTTAATACCATTTCCTTCTTCACCATATTATCCACCACCACTAAAATTGTAAAATATATAAGAATATGACTTACATTTAATTTTCCAAAAAGAAAATATCCCATTTACCTGCTTTGGTACCATTTTTATAGTTCCCCTTATAAGTAATTATTGAATCATCCCTAAATTCATCACTTAACTCTATCCATTTTCCAATCTTAACTCCATTGCCAACTTCGTCATACAATCCACCCGCTCTATATATTTTGTTAAATTTAAAAAACATCATTTTACATTTAATGATTTCCTCCAAAATCGAAATTAATATCCCATTTGCCTATTTTTTTCCCATTTTTATAAGCACCTTTATAAGTGTATTAAGAATTCCATGCAAATCCATCGCTTAATTCAATCCAATTTCCAACTTTAAGCGAGCTTCCTTCGTCATATGATCCTCCACCACTAAGGTTTTAGTTTATATAAATTTTACATTAATTCATTTTATTTTGAACTCACATCCCTATAAAAAGTACCCCATTTGCCCACCTTTTTACCATTTTTATATTCACCATCAAAAGTTACTTAAGACCAAATCTTAAATCCATCACTTAATTCAATCCATCTGCCAGACTTAAAGGAACCTGCTTCATCATACCATCCGCCTCCACTATAAGGTTTGTTTAAATTTGATACATCAATAGGAATTCTTCCGAAAAGTCCTCTCTGAATAAAATATCCCATCTGCCAACTTTTTTACCGTTTTTATATTCACCTTTTTAAATGACTTGAGACAGATTATAAAATCCATCACTTTACTCAATCCATTTTCCAATTTTTATTGATCCATTTTAATCATACTATCCACCTCCACTACATAGAAAGAATTAAAAAAAATATTTACATTTATTAAGTTTATCCTGATTTCTTATCCTTTAAATAGATATTCCACATACCAATTTTCATACCATTTTTGTATTCACCATCATAAATTATTTAAGAATCAATATAAAAACCATCGCTCTATTCAATCCATTTTCCAATCTTAATTTAATCGACTTCTGCATATGATCCACCACCACTTGAAAAAAAAATAATTAATAAATAATGTTACATTTGATTTTCCCCAAATAAAATTTGCCATTTCCCCACTTTTTTACCATTTTAATATTCACCCTTATAACTGATTTAAGATAAATCATAAAATCCATCACTTAATTCAATCCATTTTCCAATTTTCTTAGAGCCTTGTTCATCATATTATCCCCCACCTCTATATAATGTTATTTATACATTTTACCTATATTATAACTATTCCTTCCCTTTCTTCCTATACAAGATATCCCATTTGCCAATTTTTTTTCCATTTTTATAAAAGCCACAATCAATGACTTAGGAGAAATCCCAATATCCTGAGCTCGACTGAATCCATTTTCCATCCTTTTCTCCAAGCTAATTATATTATCCTCCTCCACTAAAATAATTATCATATATCAAATACATCTCTCTATCTTCTTAAACATACTTCCAAGTTCCTTACCTTTAATCGTCAACATAATCTCCCTCTTCATAAACTTAAGCTTTACTAATTAAATAATACAAAAAATTTTACTTCCAATAATTTGAAAATAACTCTATCCACCTTCCTTATTTTTTTCCATCNACATCAATTCATTCTTTTTTGTATTCCTATCTTTAGTAAAAATATCCCATCTTCCTATTTTTTTCCCGTTTTTGTATTCACCACTATACGTAATTTATGACCAACTAACAAATCTATTACTTTATTCAACCCATTTTCCAATCTTAATACCATTTCCTTCTTCACCATATTATCCACCACCACTAAAATTGTAAAATATATAAGAATATGACTTACATTTAATTTTCCAAAAAGAAAATATCCCATTTACCTGCTTTGGTACCATTTTTATAGTTCCCCTTATAAGTAATTATTGAATCATCCCTAAATTCATCACTTAACTCTATCCATTTTCCAATCTTAACTCCATTGCCAACTTCGTCATACAATCCACCCGCTCTATATATTTTGTTAAATTTAAAAAACATCATTTTACATTTAATGATTTCCTCCAAAATCGAAATTAATATCCCATTTGCCTATTTTTTTCCCATTTTTATAAGCACCTTTATAAGTGTATTAAGAATTCCATGCAAATCCATCGCTTAATTCAATCCAATTTCCAACTTTAAGCGAGCTTCCTTCGTCATATGATCCTCCACCACTAAGGTTTTAGTTTATATAAATTTTACATTAATTCATTTTATTTTGAACTCACATCCCTATAAAAAGTACCCCATTTGCCCACCTTTTTACCATTTTTATATTCACCATCAAAAGTTACTTAAGACCAAATCTTAAATCCATCACTTAATTCAATCCATCTGCCAGACTTAAAGGAACCTGCTTCATCATACCATCCGCCTCCACTATAAGGTTTGTTTAAATTTGATACATCAATAGGAATTCTTCCGAAAAGTCCTCTCTGAATAAAATATCCCATCTGCCAACTTTTTTACCGTTTTTATATTCACCTTTTTAAATGACTTGAGACAGATTATAAAATCCATCACTTTACTCAATCCATTTTCCAATTTTTATTGATCCATTTTAATCATACTATCCACCTCCACTACATAGAAAGAATTAAAAAAAATATTTACATTTATTAAGTTTATCCTGATTTCTTATCCTTTAAATAGATATTCCACATACCAATTTTCATACCATTTTTGTATTCACCATCATAAATTATTTAAGAATCAATATAAAAACCATCGCTCTATTCAATCCATTTTCCAATCTTAATTTAATCGACTTCTGCATATGATCCACCACCACTTGAAAAAAAAATAATTAATAAATAATGTTACATTTGATTTTCCCCAAATAAAATTTGCCATTTCCCCACTTTTTTACCATTTTAATATTCACCCTTATAACTGATTTAAGATAAATCATAAAATCCATCACTTAATTCAATCCATTTTCCAATTTTCTTAGAGCCTTGTTCATCATATTATCCCCCACCTCTATATAATGTTATTTATACATTTTACCTATATTATAACTATTCCTTCCCTTTCTTCCTATACAAGATATCCCATTTGCCAATTTTTTTTCCATTTTTATAAAAGCCACAATCAATGACTTAGGAGAAATCCCAATATCCTGAGCTCGACTGAATCCATTTTCCATCCTTTTCTCCAAGCTAATTATATTATCCTCCTCCACTAAAATAATTATCATATATCAAATACATCTCTCTATCTTCTTAAACATACTTCCAAGTTCCTTACCTTTAATCGTCAACATAATCTCCCTCTTCATAAACTTAAGCTTTACTAATTAAATAATACAAAAAATTTTACTTCCAATAATTTGAAAATAACTCTATCCACCTTCCTTATTTTTTTCCATCATTAGAGTATTATCCTCCAACATCTTTTAACGTTTCACCATTCCATCTTATTATCCATTTACCAATTTTTACGTTATTTTATCCATATTATCCGATCCATTACAAATGTTTTATTTATTCTAAATTGTTCATCAAATCAAGCTCTTTTGATGGGCCAATAATTCGATCTCTAAGATTAGAAAAATGAATTGTTACATTTTCAAACTACATCCATCTAAAGTGTACATAATTTCCTTTTCATTTGTCCGAGATATTAAGTATTTTGTTCTTATTTTTCTTGGTGGATTGTAAATGTAATCCCAAATGATCCCTTCACATTCTTTTTTCCATTCATAGTCTACAAATTAACTCATAAATAAATAATAATATCTTATTATTAAATTTCTTAAGATTAAATAGGACCCATAAACAGTATCATAAATTGAGTGTTAAAACAAATGACGAAAAGTTTATAAAATTTTCGCATCCCCTTATTTAAATCCTTAAGTAAATAATAATAAAGAATACAAATATTAGTATTTAAAACTTTATAAATTCAATTAAATGGGAGCTTTTTATAAAATATTTCATCCTTGTGATTTGCTTTATTGTATGCTTGTTTATAGATAAATTTTATACTATAGATAAACCAATCAAGATTATCAATATAGTAGTTTAGTATACTTTGTGATGATAGATGATAACATACGTTTATAAAATACAAAACTCTTTATCTTTCTCTATATCGAGTTATATAAATCTACAGTTAAAGATAAATAATTATACCTTCAGAAAATAATATTAATTAAATTATAGTTTTATGAAATTAATAAAAATATTTATGATAAGAAATCATAGTAGTCTTTAACTTATTAATAAAATCAAATTAATTCTGATGCAGAAGCAATTTATAATATTNCTTCATCATACCATCCGCCTCCACTATAAGGTTTGTTTAAATTTGATACATCAATAGGAATTCTTCCGAAAAGTCCTCTCTGAATAAAATATCCCATCTGCCAACTTTTTTACCGTTTTTATATTCACCTTTTTAAATGACTTGAGACAGATTATAAAATCCATCACTTTACTCAATCCATTTTCCAATTTTTATTGATCCATTTTAATCATACTATCCACCTCCACTACATAGAAAGAATTAAAAAAAATATTTACATTTATTAAGTTTATCCTGATTTCTTATCCTTTAAATAGATATTCCACATACCAATTTTCATACCATTTTTGTATTCACCATCATAAATTATTTAAGAATCAATATAAAAACCATCGCTCTATTCAATCCATTTTCCAATCTTAATTTAATCGACTTCTGCATATGATCCACCACCACTTGAAAAAAAAATAATTAATAAATAATGTTACATTTGATTTTCCCCAAATAAAATTTGCCATTTCCCCACTTTTTTACCATTTTAATATTCACCCTTATAACTGATTTAAGATAAATCATAAAATCCATCACTTAATTCAATCCATTTTCCAATTTTCTTAGAGCCTTGTTCATCATATTATCCCCCACCTCTATATAATGTTATTTATACATTTTACCTATATTATAACTATTCCTTCCCTTTCTTCCTATACAAGATATCCCATTTGCCAATTTTTTTTCCATTTTTATAAAAGCCACAATCAATGACTTAGGAGAAATCCCAATATCCTGAGCTCGACTGAATCCATTTTCCATCCTTTTCTCCAAGCTAATTATATTATCCTCCTCCACTAAAATAATTATCATATATCAAATACATCTCTCTATCTTCTTAAACATACTTCCAAGTTCCTTACCTTTAATCGTCAACATAATCTCCCTCTTCATAAACTTAAGCTTTACTAATTAAATAATACAAAAAATTTTACTTCCAATAATTTGAAAATAACTCTATCCACCTTCCTTATTTTTTTCCATCATTAGAGTATTATCCTCCAACATCTTTTAACGTTTCACCATTCCATCTTATTATCCATTTACCAATTTTTACGTTATTTTATCCATATTATCCGATCCATTACAAATGTTTTATTTATTCTAAATTGTTCATCAAATCAAGCTCTTTTGATGGGCCAATAATTCGATCTCTAAGATTAGAAAAATGAATTGTTACATTTTCAAACTACATCCATCTAAAGTGTACATAATTTCCTTTTCATTTGTCCGAGATATTAAGTATTTTGTTCTTATTTTTCTTGGTGGATTGTAAATGTAATCCCAAATGATCCCTTCACATTCTTTTTTCCATTCATAGTCTACAAATTAACTCATAAATAAATAATAATATCTTATTATTAAATTTCTTAAGATTAAATAGGACCCATAAACAGTATCATAAATTGAGTGTTAAAACAAATGACGAAAAGTTTATAAAATTTTCGCATCCCCTTATTTAAATCCTTAAGTAAATAATAATAAAGAATACAAATATTAGTATTTAAAACTTTATAAATTCAATTAAATGGGAGCTTTTTATAAAATATTTCATCCTTGTGATTTGCTTTATTGTATGCTTGTTTATAGATAAATTTTATACTATAGATAAACCAATCAAGATTATCAATATCGAGTTATATAAATCTACAGTTAAAGATAAATAATTATACCTTCAGAAAATAATATTTATTAAATTATAGTTTTATGAAATTAATAAAAATATTTATGATAAGAAATCATAGTAGTCTTTAACTTATTAATAAAATCAAATTAATTCTGATGCAGAAGCAATTTATAATATTATATTAAAGTTCAAGAGCCTTTATAAAATCTATCTTAATCCCTTAATTTCTTTTTTAATTTTAACTTTTATATCTAAACTTTTTTTGTATGATGAAGTTATTGTTGTGATACGTATTGAATCTTTTAATAATTGTAAAAAAGTTAAATAAAAATTATTTTGTTTTAAATAATTGTTAATTAAAGGTTTGGGGGTAGGGATCAGTAAGTCAGAAGGATGTGAAACAAAAGTAGTTGAAAAATAAATTGTTGGATTGATCACAAGTTTCTGACGATTGAAAATTTAAAAATGGAAAAAAAAGTTTGCAAATAGAATTTTTTTATTTTAGGAGAAATTAGAAAGAATTTCATTGAGATTTAAAATTTATTATATTATATTATATAATTATTGAATGATATATCAATATATTTGATACAAATTATTCGAGGTTGTAAAAAAAAGAATTGCCTAAATAATGAAAATAAATGATATCCCTTTGAAAAAAAAATATAAGCATATTGTTTTTTTTGATAAGAAATTTACTACAGACTAGATAGTATCCTAATTCTCATTGATTTATCAGCATATAAACCATTAAAACCAACAATTAAATAAATACTTAAAAAATTCAATTCAGTATTCTATGAGAGAATGTAATTTTAGAAAATGACTTACTTAATAAATTATAATATTAAATTTTATTTTTAAATAAAAACAAAGTAACTAATTGTAAAAAATTATTTTAAAACACACTTGAATTTTAGTAAAAGTTTAATAGACAAGAAAATTTAAATTATAAGCATTTTATTTTTCTTAATTTTTCCAAAAATTAAGTAACAATTGATTATTTGTTGGAATATTCTAGAAAAACTACAAAACATCAGTATTCTGAATTACCATTTGATTAATTAATTTTATGATTATTAACATTTTAAATTTTTGTTAATTTATTAATGAAAATACTAGAAATAAATTGCTTCAACAATTTTTAAAAATTTTTGATAATTAGATAACTGGCATATAAATGATAAATTCCTAATATTTATTGATTAGTATTTTGGATTAGTTAAAATAATTTATTATCATTAAGGCTCAAATTAGATGTAATCTACTAAAATATAATAAATTTTATAAAATACAAAATTTATTCATCATTAATATTAAGTTTTAAAATTTTTTTATGAAAATAATTCGGCTGCATGAGACCTGGCATGAGTTGAAAGTAATGTTCAAGGATGCAAATCCATAGTCTAGGCTTGAAATTGGAAAGGGTTCTGAGAGAATGAGCATGTCTAGTTCTAAAGCTTTACTAATTAAATAATACAAAAAATTTTACTTCCAATAATTTGAAAATAACTCTATCCACCTTCCTTATTTTTTTCCATCATTAGAGTATTATCCTCCAACATCTTTTAACGTTTCACCATTCCATCTTATTATCCATTTACCAATTTTTACGTTATTTTATCCATATTATCCGATCCATTACAAATGTTTTATTTATTCTAAATTGTTCATCAAATCAAGCTCTTTTGATGGGCCAATAATTCGATCTCTAAGATTAGAAAAATGAATTGTTACATTTTCAAACTACATCCATCTAAAGTGTACATAATTTCCTTTTCATTTGTCCGAGATATTAAGTATTTTGTTCTTATTTTTCTTGGTGGATTGTAAATGTAATCCCAAATGATCCCTTCACATTCTTTTTTCCATTCATAGTCTACAAATTAACTCATAAATAAATAATAATATCTTATTATTAAATTTCTTAAGATTAAATAGGACCCATAAACAGTATCATAAATTGAGTGTTAAAACAAATGACGAAAAGTTTATAAAATTTTCGCATCCCCTTATTTCCAATTAAAGAAGATTTTTTCTTGCTAAACATATCCTCTTTTAGAAATAAAACCTTTCAAAATTGAAATCCTCCTTACTTACTATAATCTATAAAAAAATGATATTAAAGAGGATATGTTTAGAAAATTACTTTTTCTCTAAAACATCCAATGTGTATCATGTTATGAAATATCAAAATTAACTGCTTTTTGCAAGACTCTCTATTTAAAAAAAAGAAGAGCAATTTTCAAGACCACTTTAAATAAAATATACACTATTATAAATATCAAGGAGTGAGTCAGTATTGTTAATACTTTTTCCTTTCAGTTAATAATTTAGATGAAAAATAACAATTTTTATGAATAGATCTTCATAAAAAAGAACAATTAAAAAAAATATACTAAGAAATTGACATTTTTTATTCTTTTTTTATTTATTTTATAGATTTTTAGGTATAAAGCTTATAGAAAGTAATAGAAATTAAAATTAAAAAAAAAATAAATGTATTGTAATTTTGAATAGAAGGAAGCTTTGATTGAAATTTTTGCTTAAGTTAAAGATATAGATGAACAAATATTCAGTGTTATAATTGAAATTTTTTGTTAGGAGAAAGTTTAAGATAGTATAGGATATATTTCAGATAATTTAAATCAGAAACATTTTGAATAATACATTCTAGAAGGAGAGTATTTAAAACAAGTTGATAACGAATAGAATTTGTATGTTGTTAGAAATAGCATTAAACAAATTATTAATATCTTAAAAAAAATAAAAGATCATGACTTTAATAAAAACGACTTTTCCAATGAAGGAACTTAGGAATGTCGACAAGTTTTACTTAATGGAATGAGAAATCAAAGGTTGATCATAGAGTTTTTGAAATTTTTAGTTTACCTCACATCGATTGATAGCTCTTTAATATAATGTGGGTCAAATTCCTTGCATTTATTAGTTGAGATGAAGATCGACCTTACATAAAAAAATTTAGAAAATATTGTGATTTAAAATACTTCTTTGGTGGGAGCTAATTTGGTTCGATGTAATTTAAGTGGATCATAATTTAATAATGTAGACATAAGTGGAATAAATTTAAATGAAGCTTAATTATTTAATTGTTCATGGAAAAATATAAGGATACATGAATTAAATTAAATAAATGGTCATAGTGATTATGTGCGCACAGTCTGTATTTCTCCCGATGGGACTACAATTGCATCTGGTAGTTACGATAAGTCTATCCGATTATGGGATTTTAAAACTGGATAATAAAAAGGCAAATTAGATGGTCATCGTAAATGGGTCTCATCAGTATGCTTCTCTCCTAATGGTAGTATATTAGCATCTGGTAGTGGAGATAACTCTATCTGCTAATGGGATATTAAGACAAGAAAAAAAAAATCTAAATTTGAAGGAAATAGAGGGAAGGTTAGTTCCATATGTTTCTCCCCTGATGGTACTACAATAGCTTCTGGTAATAGTGATAAGTCTATAAATTTGTGGAATGTTAACACAGGATAATAAAAAGTTAAACTAATTGGTCATATTGATGCTCTCTGCTCAGTATGTTTCTCTAATGATGGTACGACTTTAGCATCTGGTGGTGATGATAAATATATCTGTTTATGGGATGTTAAAACAGGATAACTAATAGCCAAATTATATGGTCATAGTGATTATATCCGATCAGTCTGTTTCTCACCTGATGGCACTACAATAGCTTCTGGTAGTGATGATAACTCAATCAATTTATGGGAAGTTAAAACAAGATAATAAAAAGTCATCTTACATGGTCATGATGATTCAGTTCTTTCATTATGCTTTTTTCCTGATTGTACTACCTTGGCTTCTGGTAGTAGTGATAAGTCCATCCGTATATGGGATGTTAAAACAGGACAAGAAAAAGCCAAATTATATGGTCATAGTGATTATGTCTACTCAGTATATTTATCTCCTGATGGTAAAACGTTAGCATCTAGTAGTCGAGATTGTTCTATACGTTTATGGGATGTTAAAACAGGATAATAAAAACCAAAATTGGACGGTCATGATGATTCAGTTCTTTCAGTATGCTTCTCTCCTAAAGGTACTATATTAGTATCTGGAAGTTACGATAAGACCATCTGTTTATGGGATGTCAAAACTGGGTAACAAAAAGCCAAATTAAATGGTCATACTGGATCGGTACTATAAGTATGCTTTGCTCCTAGCGGTACTACATTAGCATCTTGTAGTTATGATAAGTCTATTCGTATATGGGATGTTAAAACAGAATAATAAATAGCTAAATTTGATGGTCATAGTAATTATGTCTTCTCAGTATGCTTCTCTCCTGATGGTACTATATTAGCATCTGGTAGTGCAGATAAAACTATACTTTTATGGGATGTTAAAACAGGGTAATAAAAAGCCAAATTAGTTGGTCATTTTTAATGGGTCTCATCATTATGCTTCTCTCCTGATGGTAGTACATTAGCATCTGGTAGTGGAGATAACTCTATTCATATATGGGATGTTAGCACAGGATAATAAAATGCAAAATTAGATGGTCTTAGCAATTGTATTAACTCAGTATGTTTCTCTCCTGATGG